GTGCGCACGCCGATTGAAATTTGTCACACACGTCAGTTTAAAGGTTCATGAACCGGGCTAGCTTGCAGCCGTGGAAATATTGTGGCATCAGTGGACCACTGGCACAGAAGTCCTCTTTCTCTTCGTACGGGTCAAGCTGGTATGCGCTCAAAGGACGGGCGTTAATATAGACCCTAATGGGGTGTGAGCATGCATGCTAAGTGCTCACATTGGAGCGCCGTGCAGTGTACATGCTATTAAATAAAATTGCACAATTGCCGCCCAAGTGGGAAAACACCATTAAACCTTTCCATCCCCAAGTGGTGTCTTTCCACGGAAAAAAAAGGTCCAGGTTGTGAAAACTTTTGGCACATGAGAACCCAATCGTTATATGCACACAGATATGATGTAAGTCCACTTGTATGAAGTTCTCCACACACACTGTGTTGGTTGTGGGTGTTGTTTAAGCATACTTAACCACGCTGGCCTGTGTGGTATGGTGAAGTGGTGTGGGCAAGCCTGCCCTCAACCGTTTCAGAAAGAAAAAAACACCACACGGTAATGAATTGAACTCGCGTTGCCGGGTTCATCGGGCAGTGCTCGAATCACTGTCACTGTATGCCGCGTGCATACAGTGTGTTGTATAAACACGAACCACAGACCCAGGAAACCATTGAAGGGTGAGATCGTGGGTGGTCGAGGCAGGTTCAGCACATCAGTGTTGGCACGTCACCCCCCGATGTGTGGTAGACTGCTGGCACATCACCTTGATCCCACACGATTAAATTTCACGCGGTGTGCCACCACTATCTTGGACGGCCATGCACGTGTGTTTCGCAAGCCATAATGTGTGTGCCGCTTCGATAAATATAAGTGAGGTATTTTGCCAGAGCTCCCGGGAGTGTGATTTTACTACATTGTAAACATTCTTCCTATGTTTTATTTAGGGAAGTGAGAAGGTTGAGCCCAGTTTGTAGGTAAAGGAAGGGTGATGGGCCAAATGTCAAACGCCGTGCAGGCGTTACTGCCAGCGCTCCTTTTGGCGGGTGTAATCTCCGTATCAAATCAGAATCTTAATTTAAATCGGAGGTATTCGGTGAGCTATGAAGCCCTTTTTCCACGGATGGTTTTGAAGCAGAGTGTTTTGCTAGGTTTCATTCCCTCTGGCTTGATAGCTCGATTTGTTCAAATCAACACGTGGACAGGGGTGGAAATGAGCGGAACCACCCGGAAATCCATGGCAAGAGTGCGTTCCGGAAGGAACAAGGTACAACTTTAACGGCGGGTAGAATTTTTTATTTTTATTTCTCTTTAATAAGCAAGTGTCCATCGTGCTCTCGAACTCCCAAAAGGTACATGGGAGAAAAACATTCGTACTCTTGTGTAAAAGGTCTGCGAATATACCGAATGAACATGTATAACATCCTTTCAGAATTTTAAATGAGCCCTCATTTTCCACAATCCAAACCTAAGTAATTGGCGGTCGGGTGGTGGTGGGTTTAACGACACATATTTACGTGATCTGACTCAAGAAAAAGTTGTATTGTGGATGATATTGATCGCGAAAGCCGACGTGTTAAACGATCCAGCTATAGCGGATGAAAGTGGGGTGGTAGGATCCAGAATGGGGTATTTTATGAGTTCCCTCGACAATTTCTTCCATTTTCAGCACTGCACGTGAATGACTGAATGTCATCAACTATTAGCACTTGCAAGGGGCTGTGAAGGCTTAGAGTCACAGGAGTAGCTTGTCGACAATGCAGCGTTTCCATACTTTTTCGCTGCCACTCTTGCAGATGCTTACAAGAGAAGTTACTCCTGGTTTGAATTGTAGGCATGTTGGTGATGCAGAGATGAGTTTAATGTTAGCGCAAAGCTGTTTTAGTTGTGCATTATACAGAGCGATATAGAGTGCAAATTATTGATAAACCTCTGCATTTCTCCCACCAATATCAATGTCTTTATTAAATAGTTTAACACTGCATGCAAGGTATGGATGGAGCCTTTGCTTTCACAACATTCAATCTCCTGTTGGGAAAAAGTAAGGGTCATTAAAGTTCAATGGGGGTATCTATAAATGGATATTTATTTATTTAGCTTTCCCATATGTTCTTAGCTTCAGTGTCACATCCTTGAAATAAGCGCTTGAAAAATTAAGTTGTAAACAAATCATTGTACATTTGTATCCAGCACTCTACAAGAAAACCTCCAGAATATTGTTGTTGTTGACTTGCGTTCAAACACAAGCACGTGTAACATTTTGTGCCAAAGGTTTTAAGGACCCAGTAAAAAAGTGTTCTATTTCAGACTTCAAAGTTGGATTCAATGTTGCATTCGTCACCAGGAAAAACCCCCAGATGCAAACTTTTCCCGTCCCAATGTTCAAAAACAAATACTGGAACTTAACGTTTTTTTTTCTGCCAAGGTTTGTTTCATTTTTTTTGCGAGTATAGTTATGAGCATAGACTTGGCTATATTTGTGCCCAACCTTCAGCTGTCTAGCCCCTCTAGAACATCAAAATGTACACAGTCTGATACAACGACCTGTGTGTCGTCGATAAACATTGTAGTTGATGGTACATTATACGTACCTTGATTATTTCTCAGATGAACAAGGAAATTGTGAAACTGACACTGGATTTCTCTTGGTATATACACACACACAGTGTCCGAAGTTCCAAATGTTAGCAGCCAACAGACTTGTAAAACACACATTCTATAGGCCAGTTTAACACGTAGGCTTTCGCGACCAATATTAATAATACACGTTTTTTAGTTAGATCGCGTTATTTATAAATGTGGCGTAACCCTCCACCACCCGACACGGTCAATCAGCAAAAAAGTGTCACGTTGACAAAAGACAAATAGTTCACTACTTTAGCCCACCGGTGTGTTGAAGAGTGAAACCACAACATTTCGCTGGTAATTGCTGGATGCAATTACCAGCGAAACGTCGTACTCAAAAATTGTAAATGTTGTGGTTTCACTCTTCAACACTAGAGTAGTGAACTCTTTTGTCAATGTGACACTTTTTTGCTGATTGGCCGTGTCGGGTGGTGGAGGATTACGACACATTTATAAATAACGCGATCTAACCCAAAAACTTTATTATAAATTCTATAGGCCGCTTGCTTATTGTTAGAATGGATAGGTACGGACAGCGTTAAGGCGGCACGGCACGTTAGCCCTCCGAAGTTTACGTTCAAGCTCGGCGTTGTTGTGTGAAGCGTGGGAGTTCACGGCGATGACCGTACTTGCCAGGAGTTGGTGAAGTTGGTGCAACATGGGTGCTCTGCGATGATATTTACTTCTCTGAGAGCACATTGTGCACAAGACTGGCATAGAAATTGGCCAGCCAAAGCAAGCCAATCGTTGTCGTTTTTAGAATAGGCAATACAATGTCATCAAAATGTTACGATAAATAATCCAAACCACAAGCCATATATATACACAATCTTACCATTCCGTTCATCCAGACTTCTGAATAATAGCGCCTTTGACGAAGAAAATTCAATGAAAAAGAAGAACAATGGAATATTTAATGCTTTACAGCGTTTAATTAAACTTTTTTTTTTACAGAAATCTTAACATTTTTGGGAACATTACTGGACAAGCTTGCACAGAGGGCCTTTTTGTTTTGTAATAGGCGTCAAATCAATTATGCATCATTTTGTCCCAGGATAAATTTGAGCTTTGTTCCACGTTCACTGGATAAAGATACGATATTTATTGTTGTAAAATTCCTTTTTCAGCAGTTATTTACAACACGGGTGCCCGCTCATTTACGGTCAAATGAGAATGCAACATTTGCTGACGTGGCTAATTTTGGAATCTCGGCATCGAACGTTCTGCGACCCACTTCGTGAATTGCGCCCGACTCGCTGCCCTCTCGTGCATGCCCGTGCGTTCATTGATGAACGACGCAAGCGCACGGCCTGCCTGCGTAACCGGTGTCACAGGGTTGCTTCGTTCGGGGAGCTTCATAATTAAGGGAGGAGGAGGAGGGGGCTTCTCCGGGTTGTACTAACATTGGACTCCATTAGCATTCTTGGCGAATTCCACGATCTTTTGTAACCCGGGCTCACAATGCGCGTTCTGTTTGTGTGCCGGCTACGTGGCCGGCTTTTGTCACACATGACTGGCAGGCGGGAGTAGGGGAGGGAGGCTGCCAAGGGCGCTGCTATTCGCACCCGAATAGACTTAACCTTGATGGAAAATGTTCATTTGAGTTTGCAGAGCGTAATCGAGTCTTGGGGTCCTGTTGAAAGTCTACGACTAAATGCTAATTCCAAATACAATATATATTACTTTTAGGCCAGAGTTATACATGTACCAGTGTACATGTGGAACTGTTTTGTCAATCCACTGCGACATGAGGGCTTCCCCACGGCACTTTATTGATCATACTTCACGTTTGTCAGGGCGAGTTGGTGAAGGTGGGAAGCATAGAAGTACGGTACAACAATTCTATATTTTATATACTGCCCTCTGCTGCCCACAACAAAGTTGCTCAGCCTGTAACACCTGCTGTGTACGGTAGTCGCCCATACAAGCACGATCCAGGGGTCAACCCTGCAACAAGCTTCCAATATCTGCTGGTCCCGGGCTCGTTCTGGGCAATTTGGTCATCGGCAAGTTACATTCGGTTACAAAGTAAACATCTGCCCTTATAAATTGAACGACCTATGTCTAGCAACGAAGTCGGGCACCACACTCCAGTAAACAGGCAGTGAGTGGTCTTTAATCACTGCCGCGCTTATCCATCATCCACGTACGTCTCTGGGGAGATGGGGCACCACCACGATCTTGTCTTCCTGTCGTGCAAGTAGTGGTGGCGAATGTGTGTGACGGAGGGGGGGGTGGGCTGTTGAGCCAGTGGTTGGGTAATGCTGATAAGGCAGAGAGCGAGAGAGAGAAAGGGCTGTGTGTGGGGTAGGGGTGGAGGGGGGGGGGGTGTGTGGAACGCATGCACAGTCAGCCTCGCTTGTCCGGGCCACTGCAACGCTCATTGCTGTGGATGTTGGGGGGTCACGTGACGACGGCGGGTGTGCGTGCGTGCTCAAAGAGCGCTGTTTACGACGCTGTCGGCTGATCCTCCTCCCGCTTGTAGATGAAGCGAGAAGCTCCGTCAGTAGCAGCAGCCCCATTCGACGTTAGCCGGCAGCCGGCACGCACACGCGCTCTCCGCCGCCGCCGCCGTTTCGTTTCTCAAAGCTTGCCTCTGGCGGGTGTTCGATTTCAGGCTTGATCTGACGCAGCTGAACAAAAGGCCTCTTTAGCAGAGAGAGGGGGATACCTTTGTGCTTTCGTCGCCACTGCATGCGAGAGCGGTCCGTGCTGTGAGAGGAGGGGGGTTTTTAGGCAAAGCGGTGGTGTCGAGAATCTTGTGAGCCTCAAATCGCGAGTGTTTTTTTTGTTAACGTGGGCTTTGTTTACTTACCATGGGCTCCGTTGGGAAAGAGAGCCTGCAGCTGGATTTCAACACATGCGAGCAGTTTGAGCGAGAGTATTTAAACCTCAAAAATGAATTGTCTCTGGACCATGTTGACTATCGCACAATCAAGAGGGACTTCCGTTCCAGGTAAAAGACGTTGAAATGCAAAAACTGGATTTCGGTAATTTTCTTCGAATCGCCGTTGAAACATCGCGGCTTGGCCGTATGAATGTGCTGCATACGTATGAAAGTTGCCTTTTGTTGGTGGTCGTTAACGAGTAGATACATAATGGTTTTGTTCGTGAATGTTATGCCATCGTAACTGTATACAGCTGGTACCAATTGTCAACCCCCCCCCCCCCCCACCATGCTTTAGTAACAGGTAACTTGAATGATCAGAATGTAACATGTATATGTTACCCTTGATAAATAACTACTAGTACTGTACAGCAATTCAATTGTAACCATATTACTTGGCCTGTACATTCATCATCTACATAGCTGACGTTGCTGTTTTATTTGAAGATTGTGTTTACTGTTGACTTCAAACACGTACTAAACAAAAATTAATGATTTCTTCGGTTAGCAAATATGAGTCCGTTTGCAGGAAATAAGTCGCTGGCTTTTCACTAAATGTTGTATTTGTGACGTGGATATAAATTGAGCTAATAATTTGTTCCCTTTTATGCAGGATGACCTTGAACAAAGGTACAATGCAGTGAATTGCCCTGTGTGTGCTCCCCTTATAGCAGTGTCGATTCAAAACATAGTTCGTGTAAAAAAAAAAGTTGTCAAGATTTTTGCCCTTCCAAAATGTTTCCCTTCCAAAATTAATAGAAAAACAAGTTGACCTGGTTCTACTCGTACCTGCCGTACGAGGTGTACCCGATTAATTTAGCGTAATGTGTTAAGGAATCGCCTACCAATTTGAACTATGTAATTTTTGTAAAGCCATCGAGTTCCTGTAATCATGGGTAGCATTTATTGCGTCATTGTGTGCAAATCCATGTGATTTGTCCATTGTGTACAAATGCACGTGATTCGTCCATTGAGCAGCGCGCCCTCCTATTTGCTCAGACCCCTCTGCGCCTTCACACTCCATATGTGACCGCTTGAAAGCGACAGGGATACGTATGCCCATTTACACGGGCACACATTTAGACGACTTGTTAGAATTCACATTCGCCAAACGTAGAACCAACTAGCGTTACGTTTCACAGTTAATCGCCGAGGAAAACTGTTCATGTTTATTTTGTTGCAAAATGACGGTCCACATTTATGTCCGAAGCGGGGGGGGGGGGGGGCAGTCCGTGTTTGCAGACATACGGTTTAATCGTTGACTGTAACCGGAGCTCACTTCAGATGACAAGGCTTTAGAGTCGGGCAGGTTGTGTTGACAGAGCCTTCTCGAAACCTCATGACGCCGAAACATTTTGACGAATGGCTGTTCACGTCATATTTGGCCCATCGGAGAGATTTGTTTCGTGCTCAAGAGCCGCATAATTTTTGCCGCTGCACGGCAGACGTGACCACCGAACCGTGTGTCTGCCATTTAACGCAGTGTTCAGTGGCAACACCTTTTGCACACTGCCTCCCGTTGACAGATGCTCCGTTTGTCAAATAAGATGATGGTTCCATCTTGCGATCGACAGAGCCATTGACTGGCGACCGTAGATCACCTTTGTGACGCAGATTGTCACCGTCTCTGCAGCTCCCGCATTCGCCGAACATCCCAACTCCCTCCTCCCCCCCTATCCCTGCACTCGGTTTAAATGCTGCGTTGTTTGTGTCGCTGGGCAGGCTTGTGAGGAAATGGGCCGTAAAAGCATTGTGAATGTGCTCTCTTTTCTTTTCGGCCATTAACCTCTGCGATTTAATGTACACACGGCACATTGAAGCAGATTTGTGTTTTATATATAGTAGCGCAGTACGTGTAATATGCTTGACAGATGCAAACAAGGGCATCCCTTAATAGTCGGCATTTCCACTGCCCACTGTCATGTCACGATGAAGTGCTCATCTGTATAGCAGCTGTGCCTGCTGCACATTGGCATGACGTCTGTGATTCTGAACATTTGCCAGCCAAATGTATTGTCACTGGCATGACAATTGTGGTGCTGTCTGGCGTTTTTTTCCCCCTTTGACGTGTAAAGCGTTTGCTAGGTGGGTTTCTTAGCAAATCCCTGCCGCCTCCACCGATGGTGATAGTCCTCTGGTGGGTGACGTAGGTTCTTTGCGATGGGGCTGTTGTTTGATAGGCACCCATTGCAGGCTGACATCATCCATAATAAATTGAAATAGAGGCGTGGTGGCGCCCGTGTTTATGATTGCCGGTTACCAGGTGCGAACTATACCAAAGAGTGTGTGGCTAGCAGGGTGTGTTAAAGTGAGCACTATGGCTGAAAGGTAGGTCGGAGTTGGTGTATTGATGTGATTGGAATTGTACATGAACAACAATTTTACTTGAAACGTATATGTTTATTGTTTGCATGTTAAATAGCTAATGTACAAAATTATTCACCACTTTGGGGATTACGTAAGTATGGTTCTGGACAATTAACCAATTTTGCTACAGTTCTGGCATAGCTTGACCTAACCGGGTAGAGAGGGTCATGGGACCCCTCTAATGCCCGTAAGAAGATTGAGCCTCAAGCTTACTGGCACCACCAAATAACACGGTGTCTTTTAAAACTTGCTTGTGTTACATTGCATTAGTTGACAAGGGGGTAAGGGTTTCAACTGTGCCCAGTCCATGTAAAATCGTGAGCACGTGTACCCTCAAACAAAATACATTCGCTCAGAGCATTGAAGTTCAAAGTCTGTGGCAGGCTTAACAAATTCTACTTTTAGAACCAAAATATAGCAGGCAATTTTTATTTGTGCAGGAATGGGTATTAGTAACTTCTACATCATGGGACCTCCTTTGCCAGTACCAAAATATGATCATAGCTGTACGCCTTTTGGCGTCCACTGGTTTAACACCATTTGAGACGAGGCTCAGAGGCTCAAAAGAAAGCTATCTCGGGTGTGGACAAATCAGTTTCAAGGACAATGCATATTTTATCAGAGTGTTTTTTTTGCATTCTGACCACAAGCATTGTGGTTAATGCAGACATGATTCCTTGTGAAAGGCTTCAGTTTGGTGTTTTAACATCTTAACACCTGTTTTGTTGCTAGATAAAAGGGGAAAAACCTATTATCATATTAGTAACTTGGTTGTGGCGTTTATAATGTTTATAAAATTCGTCACTGCAATGACTGATTTGAATTAATTAAAGGTTCGAACACGAGCATTGTTCTTGTTGAGGCATGCAGAAAATGTACTGAGTGTGGTAGAAGAGGATTATCCGTCAGGTTTGTTGGTGTATAAGATATCAAGACCTGATTGTCTTTAGCACTGTTTGGGATCGGTTGCAAGGCTCTGTGGCTAGGTGTGCCTATCCAAGGTCAATTGTCCACTGTTTATTCTTAGGATTGTGCTCAATGTGTTACCTTAAACACTTATCTGCCTCCTGGTTTATCATTTGCCAAGTTTATGTGAGTGCAGCAGTGAAGCAACATGAGTGAAATGCCACAGCAGATCTTGGAATTAATACTTAGTGATATTTATCGTTTTCTTGTTTGGTGATGTGTTTTTCAGAGTATTTGTGAACCGAAGCCTTGCCATGGAGAAAATCAAATGCTTTGGCTTTGATATGGACTACACTCTAGCCGGTAATAAGCACTGCAAAAATTCAAACAAACACGTGTACACCAAGGAACAAATATACTTGACCCTTATTCCGGCTTGGGCTCGCATGATAAGGTGTGCGGCACAGTAAGAAATCAACACTTAGAAGTAGTCTACCAAATAATGAAATGGAAATTGCAGTCATAGTTGGCATTGCTACCTGATCATTTGATTTACATTCATGTTTTCAAGGATCACGATACATGTAGCGTACCACATTACCCAATGGGAGCCCACATGATGATACCATTGCTGTAATTGTTACGCAGGACGCCATTAGATAATATACACTTAACTTTAACGTAATTAAATATCATTGTTTTGGTTGTACATTTTATTGGACCGCATCTCCACATTGAAACTTGTTATGAAGTGGCTGTAACCGGTTTTATAAAACATGTATGAAATGTTGTACTTCGTTTCCTATTTAAATATGTGGTATGCAACTGGTCACTAACAGCTTTAGTTTGTAAGTGGAGGATTAGAATAATTTTTGTTTACCAAAATCATTCTAACGATAATAAATATTGTATCTATATTATGTTGCAGACTTTCTTGTACAGTACAGTTATTTTATTTAAGACCAGGTAAGATTCAAGGCCAGCCTAACATGAGTGGCGATCGATATCTGAATTGGTCCTGGGCCTTCGTCCCTTTACCAACCCACACTGACAAAGTGAGCGCGGTGAAATATAGCAGAACAAACATCCCCATCACCGGCGCAGCAGTAGGGAAGCCTTTTACATAGCAGTAGATTGAATCAGAAATATACTTTGCAACGAAGATTTGGGTGAAATAAATACATTGTAACAGCAAACAGGTTCGAGTGCAACACATTAAAATTCAGAATGAAACATCACACACATTAAACATCAGAAGTTTCCATGTCGGGTTCTAGGTCAGTTAGCCCCCGTTAATCTCAAGCATTGCTTGAAGGTATATAGCACCCTGATGATCACCAGAATGTACATGGCAGAGCTGTTTGATAGGGCCCGCCTAAAACAGCCGCCAGTGCTGATGAAATTCATACTTGGATGCATGGATCAAATTCAGTTTTCAAACTTGGCAGGCAGTTCCGTGTCATTAATTAACTTGCCTCCAGAGCGATTATTATTATCATGTAGAAGTCTGCTACCACCGCATTTATGTTTAGGATAGGGTAGCAGTGGGATCCATTGTGTTTTAATCTACTGAATCTAGACGAAGTGTCCCTACAGGTAACCACGTGCGCATATCATGATGAATGTGCTTGGACGTCTGCCGGCCCATGCTTGTTTTGGCCAGAGTGATGCTTTTGTTTGTCTCCCGTGACATCACGTACCTTACGTAATGTGAAATGTGTTCATGCCACTAAATTGTAATTTAACATGAGGTTTATGTGGTGCGTGACGATCGCTTAGCCGTCACGTGATTGTTGGTAGAGAAATGTGAAGTTGCCTTGGATTCGCTATAGCGGCACGTTCACTTTTAACCCCCATGATGTCCCTCTAAGTAGAGTTTCAGTGGCCGTTACATTACCCTTTCGTGTGTCAAGTGGTGCAGCGTGAACCCACCTTGGGGCACGCGATTATTGACTCGGAGAAGGTCAGTCGTCCAGTGTGAACCCACCCTAAGCGTTCTAAAGTTCAACCAGACAAATATAACCGCACGTTAACTTTACACCTGTGTGACGCGATGCTAACGTGGTGGTTACCTTATCTTCAGCGATCCAACTGTGAAACCCACCTCTGTATCCCCAAAGTGTACAAGTCGCCAGAGTACGAGGCGCTGGGGTTCGAGCTGACGGTGGAGCGCCTCGTCAATATCGGCTACCCCCAGGAGCTGCTCAGCTTCGAATACGACCCCAGCTTCCCGACCAGGCGAGCACAAAACACGCGTGTCGCCGGGTTTTTTCCGTACTGTCAGTGGTCCACATCGCAAGGCAGATTCGCTCGCGACCTTCGCAAGTGGAAACTCAATGAACCCCTTGCGTGCGCGGTTGCAGAACACCGATCAGACTTTTGGTCACAGTCGATCACTGAACCCTGAAAACAATGGCGGCTTTGAAGATATCCATGCTCAGAAACCGAAGCCATTGCCTGGTTAAACCGGTTAATCTGGACAAAGACTATTAAGTTACTATTTATTTAGAAATATACAATAATATTAATGACTTTCACCCTCAACATGTTTAAACTCAAACCAATCTAACAGAGATCGATGCATGTTGTTGATATTAGTTCATAGTTTATCAGTGTAAATTCTAGTTGCTGCTCTACATCAACATCAGCCACATGCAGAATAAGAAGGGGTAGAGAGCTTCAGCTTGTACTTTTTATCCTGGGAATTGGCCACGTGGGAGAAATTGTTTTTGTTAAACATCCGATTGATCCATCGTGGCATTTTATCCACGATTGTTAATATTCAACAAGTTCAGTTTAGTCTGGTGTCACGTGGTTGGTAGCTTCGGTACATTTGTACATCTTTGTAATGGTGGAATAATTAACTGTTGCTATAACCCCCACCTGCTTGCACACATATCAATGTGATTTAATCATCACTCCAATTGCAGCAAGTCAGCACTACTCTTGATACCCAATTACGTTTTGGGCACTGAGTACCAGAAATGTTCATTACAGCCACCTGTTTGCTTTAATTATCCCTTGCAAAAGCATAACATTATATGGGTGTTGCAGTTGAAATTATCTGCAAATGCTCATTCGGGAAAATAAAAAAAACTCTGCCTTTTTGGGTTTACCGATCTAAATGATTGATGTGCAACTGCTCACAGGATTTTGCGAGCATAAATATACAAATCACGTGTGAATGACAGCACAGTATTAAGATACCACAGCCCATTGCCCTATGTAATGTTGGTGGCTCACCATTGATGTGTTTAAAAAAACAACAACCTTGATTGTAAAGCACCTCTCACAAGTAATACTTTTTGCGTGTACTCTTGTCAGCGCTGACACGTTCGCAGTTTTTTGTTAACGCGTGAAGATGGCGCGTCTGAATGAAATCTTAAATATTTCTGCTGCTGCAATAACTGTTACCAGACAGCCTTGTCTTTGTTTGCTCGATAATCAGCTATGCCATGCTGCAGGCAGACCCGAGCCAGAATGGAAAGGCAACGCATGATATGAATTATATTTTGTTTATTTTTGTCCAAGATATTTTAACTTACACTGTGCTTTTGTTATAACAGGGGGTTGGTGTTTGATGCTATGTTTGGAAACCTACTGAAAGTCGACGCATATGGAAACATTCTGGTCTGCGTGCATGGTTTCAACTTTATGAAGGGGTGAGTGAATTAATTTTTTTTGCGACGTGGGCAATGTTGCATAACACTGTAACAATATTTTTGTTGTTGTTTCTGGGTAGTAAGTGTTATTTCCTAATTGCTTATGCCTAAAAAGTACAGAATATGGCTATTATGCCCCAAAAACTTTGCTTTTGTGACCAGGACAGTGATATTTTGAAATTTACCTGTTTTCAATGAGAAAACGTGGTGTGCATTTGTGTCATTCCTTCACATAAAGTCCTGGTCACAAAAGCAAAGTTTGTGGGAAATAATAGCCATTTCTTTACTTTTTAGGCTTAAGCAATTAAAAAATAACACTACCCAGGGACAGAAATCGTGTTACATAGTGTCATCTAAGCCAATCTGGTTTCGTTTTCATTTGTTCCATGAGAATCCTGTGCAATATCGAAACTTGACACCCACAGTTGCTGGCATTTGAACAATGTCCTGCCTTATTGTGTTCCAGTCCCACCGCAGCGTCGCTCAGTCTGAGTATCGTTTCATTGGCGACGTGCACTCTTCTCAGATAAATGACTAACGTTGGAACATGCTCTGCCCGTCCAAACGAGCCTACAAAGCGTCTCGGTTACCCTTCCACGCGTGTGCTTTCTCGCCAGCCACGGCCCCGCCAATGTTCTTCTTCACGAAACAAGTGCACCTTTTGAAAATCTCCCGTCAACGACGTGAATTTCCCACGACCATGCAAATTGAAATGCGGGGTTGTGGTACTCTGACACGAGTGGCATCGGGTTGAATGTTCTCGTCGTTGTCTTGGCAGGCGAACAACAGCTACGAGATCTTTCATGCCTTTTCAGTTAGAACGCTTTGCCTGTGAAATGCAATGGTGACGATTGGTGATATTTTACCTCTTGTGTGCATTATGCTCTGGTGCATGGTTAGGAGTCTTACTTCTGCAGTTAAGACATTTTAATATGGAAGTGTACATTTACAATAGCTGGAAAACTAAAACATTAAAACGTGTGCCTCTATATTTGAGAGATTTATCAAATAAACCAACTGTATTGCTGGAGTAAGCTAAACGCATTATTGATATTGCAAAAGTCCCACACGAGTCTTTATATAACACAAAAACGGTGCTTTTATTATTGTGAACTGTATTGGCCTTGGGTCAAAAGAAGGCTACTTCTGCTCATTTTATTTATTACACCAATTTTATTTTCCTTTTCATTCAGTTTTTTCGACAGCTGTACAACTTGTCCCCCACCCACCTTCATTTTGATCCCGGTCCACTATTAATAATTGCCCAAATGTTTGTAGGCACACACATATATACACAGTAAACCTATTAGTTTTGCTCGTATTTATATTGAAGACCAAATTTTCATATGCCATAATGATCTGAACTATGGATATTGATATTAACTTGAAAGCGTACAGAGAAGCATGGTCTGGTGCATTATTTTAATTACCCTGACACGCAGGAACACGTGTGGATCGGACCACACAAATGCACACTTTAGAGAAGTCACATTGAATTTTGATTTAAAGCTTTCGTGACTGCAGGGATTCATATTCTTGGTTCTTTCGGTAAAGTCACGTAGAAGGGAAATAATAAAATAATATTAATATAAAACAATAACAATTCTCACTACGTTTTTTCTTTCTGTGGATTTCACACCTGATGATGGTTGCTTGTGTTGCAGTCGAAACGTCGTGAGAATTGTTATTGTTTTATATTAATATTCTTTTATTATTTCCCTTCTACGTGACTTTACCGAAAGAACCAAGAATATAAGTCACATTGACTTTATTAAAGTACGTATTCTTTGGATAAACTCGTCACGAGACGGAATGATGGCCAGTGGTTCATATCAATGAGGGAGTTTCAACCAAAGGAGGGAACACGCTGAGAGGATATCCAACGCAGAGATGGAGCGATGAATTGGCTCGTGCGCAGAAGCTATATGGATTGCTGCATCGAGAGACCATGAGCGATGGTGGTTGGCTTAGAACGTGGCTTCATCTTTCAACCAATAGATTTTGGTTGATGAGATAGATTATTCTCGCGCATCTGGATAATGAATCTCGCTTTTGCCCGAGTGACACCATGCCAATTGTGTTATCGGTCATACGACACGATGAATGTAATATACCAATATTGAGCCAAGATTCATATTACAATGTATTTAAAGACCGTTTTCAAAGTTGAGTTTCCCCGTATTGAAACTACAAATGTGCCTATTTCCAAGAGGGCTGTATGTATGTTTGTTAAACTTCTTTCGCACCGTGCGCAGCCAACCGCGCTAATTGGAGGTGCAGCTGAAAATTATTGGAGGTGTTGCCCATGTGCATGAGTAAACAAGTTCTGTCTTGATGAGGTTTTTTTTGTTCCTGTGACTCAGGCCTGAGATAAGAGAGCAGTACCCCAACAAGTTCATTCAACGCGACGATACCGAGCGCTTCTACATCCTCAACACGCTTTTCAACCTGCCAGGTGAGATGTCACCTGTGATGATAAGTAGGGGCCCTGGTAACCGCTCGTGTGTCCATTGGCAGTGGTAGTAATTAAATGGGGGACATTGGGACATTGGACCCAACGATTGGCTTTTTCCAGCCACGGTAATTCATTTTTATGGAGCAACGTTCGCATGAGGTTGAGATAACACGCGTCCATCCTGTTCAAATACAATCACCAGCGCGACCTTAGCGACGGCTAACTGCAGAGTGAAGTCGGGCTGCAGCGTCAAAGGATTGAAAAGTTGAGCGGTGGAAACATTCAGTTGCCAGCACTTCCAGAATACAGCGCCGCTTTACAACTCGCTGACAAGTTGTGTTATACATTGCCCAATGGTGTTTACTGCAGGGGTGTCACCCTGTCATGTTTGTGACCTCTGGGGGTCGCCCAGGTTTGCGTGTGCACTTTGGGCGGAGGTTGCTTATTTCAGGTGCCCTCACTCAGGTTTGCCGGGTTGGTGTTTGTCTGCTTGTGAGATAATCTATATGATGCTCCGCTTTGACGATGTCTTTCATTATTTGTTTTCGGCATTTGCATGTGGTTAGAATCCAGTCTTTTAGTTATTGCGAACATGACTTATATATACGATGCAATGTAAGCCGTACAGTATAATTCGTTTTATCGTTTTGTAATAATTTAAACTGATTTATCTAACCTTTTGTTTTGGTTTGTTTACCATGCAGAGACGTATCTGTACGCTTGTTTAGTGGACTTCTTCACAAACTGTGCGAGGTACAAAAGGTGAGTTTAATTTCCCATTAAACTTATCTGGGGCTGATTTTAACTGTGCATTATTGTCACGTTCAAGACTATATTTTACTTCACAGTAATGCACGGTTAAATAATAATTACTCTGTCGATTAGCCATGGCGTCCGTGGGGGACATTTCTCGTGTTAAAGTTTACGCCACTGCCCCCTCTGGTTGCGCAATAACACGCTCGGCCTCGTAGCATTGGTGCACCGCGCGCCGAAATAACCGTGCGCCTCCCACCCACCTTGGCGCTGCCGCCGACAGGTGCGAGACGGGCGTGAAGGATGGAGACCTGTACATGTCCTTCAAGAGCATGTTCCAGGACGTGCGGGAGGCCATGGACTGGGTCCACATGCAGGCGAGCGCTACAGTGGGGACGCACGGCGGCGGCCGCCTACGTCGCCTTATTAATCACCCCACCTGAGTCATTCTCCTCTTGCAGTAAAACTATTCTCAGAGGGGTGGAAGGAATAACCCCCCCCCCCCCCCCCGCGACTCTCTTGGTTATACGGGAAATCGGTTCGTAGTGCGGTTGAGAGTGACGTAGCGTGCTTGTACGTATGTTGAACTTCTTTTGCACCGTACGTAGCCAACCGTGCTAATTATATGGATCACGGTGCAAAAAATTAAATGGTTCCCCCCCCCCCCCCACCCCGTTTTACCTCCTCTTCAAAGACCTGGTCCCGTCCGATTGCATGACCTGCACACTTGATAGCGACGCCACTCGCGTTCAACTCTGCTTCCCCATAACAGATAGGCCGTTAAAATCCTAATATATTTGTCCGATTTCGGCAAAAGTTCTGCCAACGTTTCATATCCAGTCCCTTGCCACACCTATTATACAATTAAACTCCTCCAGCCCCCCACCTTCTCAGGTGCAAGGGGCATTAGAAAGACATGAGGGTACTTAGTGTGGCTGTTGTTAATGGGTGTGTACACAATTTAACTCCAGCTGAGTTGAACCCTCAACCCACATCATTTTTTGCCTTCCCCAGACACTCGGCTGTGATCACAGTCCATGCCACCTGCTTACAAAGTGCAAATGCTGCTATTATATAACGCTAATCTGTGTTCACCTTTTGTCCATTGCCAGTAAAAGGACCAAACTGTTACTATTGCGCAATATTGATTGTCTACTGGTTTGAAAATCTATTTGAAAAAATACACTAAAGCAGGTAAACGTTACGTTGAGTCTGTGGCCCTTGCCATAGCGAATGGCACTGCAGTTCTGCTTCTTAAATGTCTTCGGTACAGCCTGGCAAGTCATCAACAAGAATACGAATAGTGTTGAATATGATGATGACCTTTGACTCTATGGAGTTGGTGGCCTTAACCCTGTTTGGAGGAATGTTAGTGTAGAGCGCGTGCACTACACTAACATTCCTGCTAATGGCCAACACCAATGACGATTATCTGAACCGGTCCTGGGCCTCTCCCAGGTCGACTCGGCCTCAAATGAGTACCTCGTGCGATGTTTAAACATCGCTACGAGGGAGGCGGTTGGGCGTGGGGCTGGCTGCCCACTCCCTCGTGTGCCGTTCCTGTCTTAATAGCACTTTCCCCAACGTAGTGTGGTGATATCACTGAACATGTGCAATGCATTGACAGAGGTTCGTGCCAACGGTCACAGTTTACCATGCCTTTTGCTTTCTTAGAACCCACCTTCTGCTTGTATTTGTTTTTTTACTCTGTCTTTAGTGGTGCCCTGCTCAGGGCTTTTGCGTTGTTGCGTTGCCAGGAAGCGTAATTGGTAACGTGTTGTGCCACGTTTGCAGGGCTCCCTCAAGTCAAAAACTCTGGAGAACCTGGAAAAATATGTGGTCAAGGAGGTGAGTGCTAATGCAAATGACATTGATTAACATTGAGTGTATTTGTTTTTGCGGGGAGTGGAAAGCTGGAACACAAACGGCTCTCTTTAAAAGGCCTGTGTCATCCAAATAACAAACAGCTCTTGTAACTAAGCACTTAAACTCATTGCCCCGGGCTGTGTAACAAGTTTGTAGCTTCTTTAATGATAAAACATATCTTAGTTTTAAATAGTTTCCAAACACATGCTGGGCAGACCAGGATTCAAAGTCCAGGTACATACCCGTGAAACAGGAACTATTTGTTATTTGTGTTACATCTTACTTAAAAGGGATGGCTGCCCATGGTGCAATGGTTAGACTTCAAAGGTCTCCAGTTCAATTCAATGTTTTGGTGGGGAAGCAAAACATTGGGCAAGTTTCTTTTCACCCCCACCTGTGTCCACCAGGAGTGTGAATGAGTGCCCGTAGTCCGTCAATTGGCAGGTCGTGTGTGTGTTACATAAAATTGTGGGTATTCTCCCATCTCCACCAGGATGTCTTGCCAGTGTGGGAGAAGTAGGCCAAATACCATGTTGAGTGGCAGTGGCACGAGCAAGCGATTTCAGGGCTGCACCTTTATCTTTACAACTACTAACTAAAAGGCCATTCTCTCTTGAAATTACGTTTGGTGTCTGAACTTGATAAAGGTTTCTCAGGTGTCGCTTGCCGTGCAAATCAAACCAAAATTTGTCCGTGAGCCATGTCACACTTAAGCCCCACACGCACTCAGCCAAGTTTAATTGAGCGTGGCACTAAATATGTCGTGCAATTCTGCTGTCCTCCAGCCACGTCTTCCACTGCTGCTCAGTCGAATGAAGGAAGTTGGAAAGGTGTTCCTGGCCACAAACAGCGACTACACCTACACCAACGTGAGTGCTCTCTTGCGGGCGCGTTGCCATGTTCCATAATACTGCAGTTTTTTTCTTTTGGCCCTTCACCCAATTTTATCCTGTTTTGGCACTATTGGTGTCACGGTGTTATGTCACGAGATGGATAATCCATTTGGAACTCGCGCAGAGCACTGCCGTTGGAGATTATGCAATAGAAGTGGATATCACTGAACTACTTCAGGTGACCTCAGGTCCACACACAGTAAAGGGGGAGGGGCAGCACATTCCCAGCTGCCCGTGCTACAGAGAGTAATGTTCGTTTGCATGGTGGCCACACCGATTTTTTTTTTTCACAGCCAAATTAACTATGGGACCAAATTCAACTTGATGGTGTTTTGTGTGCAGTGTTTGCTCCTGGGCGGCGACCATCAACTCACTTTTCTTGAGAACCCTCTTTAATCACAGGCGGCTTTCCTGGATTTGAACCAAAGATCTCATCGGTGCCGGCTCAGCGCTTTGGCATATGTGCCACCCCAGCGTTTTGGCATATGTGCCACCCCACCGCTTTGGCATATGTGCCACCCGACCGCTTTGGCATATGTGCCACCCCATCTCTACCCCGTTCATATGTCTACTTAAAAGCTGATTGAGCTGGTTCGTGAACTGAGCAAGCCAGCTTGGGCTAAATCCCCAACTGAATCTTAACTGGCTAAGCCAACTTCACTCCCGCTGCGTAGCCTGCTCGTACTTCTCCGTGTAGCTCAATTTGAAACGGGAGCTACACGCGTTTAGTTGGGCCCGCTCTCAAAAGTAGGTGTGGTGCCATAAGGTCGGTGTAGAAATGCGACGCACCGTCAGTAGCATCTCTCGCTTAGTTTAACTTTAGGGATGTATTTGTATAAAAAAAAATAACGTTGAATTAATGTAGTTAGTATAGCTGAAGGTAACTCGGACTTAAAAACTATCGCTCACATTGTCTGGCACGGCTCGGTTATGGTGTCTAATGGCCGTGGAAACGCACCATGTGATGTTCCACAAGGTGGCCCAATATGTCTTGTCATTGGATTGGAATCAGAGACTGGTGAGTCAAAGTGATTGTTACTTTGACCTTTGGATGACCATCGAGTGACACTGTATGTGATAAGTGTGGATATTCAACTGACAGGTCACAGCATATTTTATAACGATGCTCACCTAAAAGGAGCGCTGGGACACGCATTTGATTTTCCATACACACTCAGCATATGCAGATATTCCATTTTTGCGAGAAAATCAATTGCAGGACCATTACCATATGGTTTAATTTCATATCTTATCTAAGCGGATATACGATGCCAGTTTCGTGGGGTTTAATATCTGTCGACCATGTGAAACAATGTAAACATATTGTCTACTTTGTGTCCAGCAATGAACACTTTTGGTTAGATTGCTGTCAAACGAACAGTTAACATGCAGATAAAATTTAAATGAGTGAATTAGTGAATGTTTATCGTTTGTTGTTTTTTTGCGTGTTACTCCTCGGAGCCCATGTACCTCTGGGACGGACGTGGCTTCGTTTAAACTCGTTTACCGCGTTGCCAACGAGTCCTTTACCAAGTAACGTCTCTTTTTGCAGAAAATTATGAAATACCTCTTCGACTATCCACATGGCCCAAAGGTGGTGAGCCTCAATGTATTGTGCAAGTTGTGAAACGCACACAGTCTCAATTTCACCTTGAAAATGTAACAATGTTGTCTACACATCATGGGACCTCCTTTGCCAGTACCAAAATATGAGAATAGGTTTTCCCCTTTTTTCTGGCAACAAACAAATGCCTTTTGGCGTCCTCTGGTCTTAACACCGTTTTGAGACTAGGCTCAAAAGAAAGCTGTCTCTGGTGTGGACCAATCAGTTTCAAAGACAATGCATATATTATCAGAGTATGTTTTTGTTTGCATTCTGACCACAAGCATTGTGGTTAATGCAGACATGATTCCTTGTAAAAGGTTCCAGTTTGGTGTTTTAACATCTTGACACCTGTTTTTTGCCTGAAAAAAGGGGAAAACCTATTCTCAATGTTGTCTCTGCGACGCTATCGGCATTTATTCTATTAATATTACAAGTGGTCACTCAGGGCGTTTTGGCAAAATGTAAAACTTATTTATGTAATGCAGCAGAATGTAATCTCTGCTTTTACTAAAAGATATATATGGGTGACAGTTACGTGACAATAATGTTTCTCAATTACAAAGAAGCGCATCTTCGCATACTCACCTGGCGGCACCTTCATTGTGAAAGCGTTTGTGAAATAAATTACCAGGATTTCTGATTTATGCGGCTTTTGAAAAAGCACAGTGCAATAGCGCCACAGCATACTTGACCATTTTGACCATATCATGCATCATGTCCGCTTTGGTGGACTGCTATGAACTCTACGAATTCCCAACACATTTGGGAGGAGGTGGGGGTTGACTCTTAAATCACACTCATTTTCGCACACACCCAACATTTTTTTCGTTATTTAACAACAGAAATTCAATGAAAACATGTGCATTTTGTGATGTAAACGTGCTCCAACCTCTGTCCCCATGCAGCCCGGCACATCCCACCGCCCATGGCACTCCTACTTTGACCTGACGGTGGTGGACGCACGCAAGCCTCTGTTTTTTGCCGAGGGGACCGTATTGCGCCAGGTGGACTTGGTGAGCTCATCGCAGTGTTAACACAAAACAAACAAATGCGGTCTCAAACATACATTGGACTATGTGTATTGGAGTCTTTTTTATCTTCCATGTGTGTTTTTTTTAAGTGCTCAGCAGTGTTTACTCGACTTGCTTAAGTTAGGGCGTCCGAATATTTAAATGATATAATGTGCAGAATTTCATTTCGGTGGTATTTGGAAAATGTGGTGCGGTTTATATAGGATGTGTATGCGTGCGTTTGTACATGCTTTCAGAAAACAGGCCATCTGAAAATTGGCACATACACTGGGCCCCTGCAGCATGGCATCGTGTACTCAGGAGGTGAGTGAGGCATGCCAACTGCTCACACCTTAAATGCCAACTGCGTCGGCTTCTCCCAGTACGGGAGCTTCGTTTTTGTTTATTCGTGTAATTTTGTTTCTTAAATTGTAAGCGTCACTGACTTTATAGCCCGTTTCACACTTTTAGCCTCAGCATTATCCGTGAAATGTTTTTATGTCTGTGGAGGAGAGACCTGGAGTAAATTCGACAGGCACCACGTCACCCGCATTTTCTTTCCGCACTCCACGCGACAATACGAGCATTCACAAGGCGGCGCCAATGGCAGTTAACTTGCATATACCCGGTCCTCCCCAGGGTCTTCGGACATGATCTGTGACCTTCTGGGAGCCAAGGGCAAGGATATCCTCTACATTGGAGACCACATCTTTGGGGACATCCTCAAGTCCAAGAAGCGGCAGGGCTGGAGGACTTTCCTGGTCATTCCAGAGCTGGCACAGGAGCTGCACGTGTGGACGGAGAAGAGCGGTGAGGGGGGGCGGTGGTGGAAGGGGGGGGTACGGTTGCTGGGTGCGTGTGTGCCTCTGTGCGTGGGGAGCGGTGGTGTCGCGGTTAACGCTCTGCGCTACGAACCTGGAGACCCGAGTTCGATTCCCACTGACGGCCACCACCAGTGACAATTTTCTGAACCGGTCCTGGGCCTCCCCTAGATCGACTCATCCTCAAAATGAGTTCCTGGTGTGGTGTGTCAACATTGACACTAGGGAGACAAAGGTGGCCGGGCATGGTGCTGGCCACCCACCCCCCCCCCCCCCCCCCCGTGTGCCGTTCTGGCCTTCATAGGTGCTCACTAACAGTACTTGCCCCAACAGTCTGTTAAGGCTATATGGGCGATCTTTGTTTTTGTGTGACCAAAACACAGCAAGTTGGCACTGTGGTACATCTGCCAGTCATCTCAGTCAGTCAATCCATGGCACCTGGGTCTCTTCCCACGACCTCCTGTCGGCGAGCCTTCGACACTTCACTTGACCTCAAAGTGCACCTCGCCTGGCACAAGCGCCATGGTGACATCACCCCGCCACTTAGTAACAAACAGCAGCTGTTGTATCTTCGGTGGTATTTAGATGCAGCAATGCTTGTGTGGGGGTCACTCAATGCCAATGAACGGTTACTGTGCCTGGTGTTGGCGACGGATTAATTTGCAACTCTGTTGCATTTTAATCGTAGTTGCTACGCCCAAGGTCAAGAGGCTCACAATGCGAAGTGGCCAGCAAATGTTATCTGTTATGCCGGTGAGGGATGGTGGCAGCTTGCAGAGGATTTTATTCAGCAGTGGATAGATTTTGTATAATGATGATTGTATAGCAGATTGAAGCGAAACACACTGAGCATGGTTATAGGGACTTGGGGAAAAATGGGTGACGGGTGGGGAGTTTCAAAGTCTGGCGCAGTATGTGGGGAGAAAACGATGACACTGCGGACAGGAAGGCAACTGTGAATCGAGTCGGAATGGGACTTGGACATGAGTGGACGTTATCATGGTCTGCATTTCATAAGAACAACGACCGTGGAATTTGTCGATTAAATATTGATAAGGGAAGGGACCGAACCAATGGCGTGTTAAAATGCAATTTTTCTTTTTTTCTCTGCAGCCCTCTTCGAGGAGCTCCAGGGACTGGACATCTTCCTCGCTGAACTCTACAAGTAAGTGCGGGAGGAGGAGGAGTAGAATAGTGCTTGTTGCTTATTGAAATTTGTAAAGCATGAATTAATTGATGTCCCAAATTTAACTCAACCTCAGCAGTGGTAAAGAGTTAAATGTATTTTAAAAAACAATGAAAGAAAAAAGTGTAACTTGTATACAACGCACCTAGCGTGTCGATTCAAGTTGTACAGTGACTAAAACACTTGAAGTTAACGGTTGACGCTAAGCGAAGTGCTAAAAAATGATCAGCTTGGAGCGATGTTACCTGCTGTGCTGTGTGTTTGTCGGCTCACATTAAAGTTTTCTCCATGTGCAGCGCCAATGGCTGTGAAGCTGCTTTTCCTGCCATGGGTAAACACTCCCTTTTCCAATCAAACATCTCTTCATAACCTAACCTGCCCTCGTTCCGTCAGAGAGCAGACTCTCTGACGCTGATGCACTTTTAATTTTTTTTATTTTTACTTGTTTTTTTGACGAGCGTGTGCCAAAAAAAAACCACACTCACAATTAATTTTGAGTTTTCTTGCACGTGCGACGGAAACACATGAGAGTTCTCTTCTATCCCGCAGGCACTTGGACAGCAGCAGCAACGAGCGCCCGGACATTAGCTCCCTGCAAAAGAGAATCAAGGTACGTGGAGCAGTAAACACCGGATGGGAATGAGCCGTCTTGACCCATTATACTTGGAACGATTCCCCAACCTCCTCTTGCCCAACGATGCAATTCGGGGCGACGAATGTATTATTTGTAAATGCTTTCCCAATAATATTGTGAGATTACTTTAGCTCTGTGAAAGTTCTGTTACGTTGCTTGGAAGGACTCCACCGCATTGAAAACTGGCCACGTTTATAAAACTTTTGCACAAGATTTCGAGACTCAAACCAGAGTAAAAAGGACTATTTGCAAATGTAATTTTCCATGATTCCTGCCAGCAGCTTTCATTGTGCTAATGAAATGCGTCGTGAAAGTCGTTAAATATTCCATCCTATTGCATTATTTTTTATAACTTGTTTTATTTGTGCTGTCTCATCTGTAGTATCTCTGTACTATCTATCCTCCGAGTTCTCGGTCGTACGGTGCATTTTATTTGGTGAAATATGCACGTGTTCTAAATTGTGTTTGTGATTATTATTTATTAAACTGCGACGTAGGGTGATTCGTACCGGCCCACAAGCCAACGCGGTTTACGGTAACACTTCCTTCCCGTGCCGTGCTTTTGTCCGCTTTCCTTCTCGGCCGTGACAGAAAGTCACGCACGACATGGACATGTGCTACGGCATGATGGGAAGCCTCTTCCGGAGCGGCTCGCGCCCGACGTTGTTTGCCAGTCAGGTGATGCGTTACGCCGACCTGTACGCCTCCTCCTTCATCAACCTGCTCTACTACCCCTTCAGCTACCTCTTCCGCGCGCCGCACATCCTGGTGAGTGCAATCATTCCAAAACCAGTGTCTTTTTCATTCACCTCTGTCTGGCCTTGAATTGTTTTCATTTTTTGCTGCTATAAATTTTTCCACGTGAAGAGCCACTTTTGTTGAGCTATCGTTTGTGGCCAGGTCGTTTGTGAAAAATAAGTTAATACCTCGGTGGGCTTTACTTGGTAATTTCAAATGATTTCGTTTTATATTGTATATTTTTAAGTGATTTGTTTACCTTTCCTATACTCTGCACTCCTATCGTGTCTTTGTATTGTTTGTTGTTTTAACGTTCTGATCCACCCCTACTGGACTATAGCTTATCGGATTCCTCCAGTATAAAGAAATATTCTGATTCAAATTGTGGAATTGATTAAAATGTCAGCTTTTTTATCTTATGATAACACAGGGGTGGGGGGCTGCCCTTTGCCTTCCTGAAGGGCTGAATAGGACTTTCAAATACTTCTATACTTTTGGCCAGCGGGGGTGGGAGGGCAGCACAAATGAACGCTCGTGCACAGCCACGGTCGCTTCTGCGGCCGCGACGGTGCGCTGCGGCTACGGTGGTCTCGAGGCGTCGCTAATTCCGGGGGGGGCCCTGCGGTGGTGGGGGGGGGCGCTCTCTACCGCTCGCCCGCAGATGCCTCACGAATCGACGGTGGAGCACGTGCACAATGGGCTGGGCGAGACGGAGAGCCCCATGGCGACGCGCAACCGCCTGCTGATGCAGGGCGTGACCGGCGGCGGCGGCACCAGCGGCCCAAGCGCCAAGGAGCAGCACGGAGACGAGTCGACCGACGGGAAGCGCCTCGGCTTCCAGCGCTCGGTCAGCGAGGTGCGGCCGCCGCACCTCCACCCGACCACTCCGCAGGAGATCACTCACTGCCACGACGAAGATGACGACGAGGAGGAGGAAGAGGAGGAAGAGTAAACTGCCGGCCACTCTCTGCGAGCCCAGTCAATAGAAACGACGTGGCAACGCTCGTTTGGGTCGAAGCGATTTTCGGGGGGGGATTTTTTTTTTCTACGACAAGCAAAGCACGTTTACCTGAACGTAAAAAAAGAATTGTCAAGGAACTGCTGCTTGCGCGCGTGGCTGTTTTGAGCCAGCGGTTCGGAAGGTTTCTATTGGCGCTGGTCATGGGGGAGGGCTCTCGGCGTGGAGCGGTTTGTGTCCTCGATGCCAGCCTGCCGCGGTGTGAGCAAGCGTGGTCTACTCATGGCGAGCGCACGGCTGGCATCCCTCTGTTTGCCGTGATGGCAGCAATGTGGTTTTTGTCAGAAGCTGGTGCCGGTGACCACTGGTCGTAGAGGGCACGGGGTGGGGGTGGTGGTGGGTGGGTGTGCTCATGCTCATGCTCAGCCAATCACAGGACACTTTTTGCCTCCTGATGGGGGTGTGAAGCTAAAAATTCAGTTGCAATGGAACGTTTAGTTGCCATTCTCTGCACTGTGATTATAGGCACCGTGTATCTGACTGATAAAGAATCTGTCAGTGTTGGGTGTTTTAAAAAGCTGTTTTGCTGTGGCAGTATTGTCTACCTTAACGCAATTAAATACGAGTGGTAAAACTACATGATACACGTCATGTATGATGTTGAACTTCTTTCGCACCGTACGTAGCCAACCATGCTAATCGGAGATGCGGGGGAAGGACAACAAACTAAACACAAAAGCAGTTCTAAAAAAATTCATTTTTCAATTTCTAAAATTGCACAGCTCCCGTGGCTTCCTAATATTGGAAGGAAGAGCGTTCCAGACGGCCGGTTTCAGTTCGTAAGGATTCGAAAATGTATTTCTTTGTGTATGGTTGGTATAGAGTTACTTTTATGATATAATTAAGCTAAAGGAAGTGATTATTTTAAGGCGGCTTGCAATGGGGTATCCGTTCACACGGAAACAGTGTGGAGGGCCGATGGGGGCGTCACCTGATCCTGTACACACACGTGGCATGGATGTCCATTGGAGTCTGCTTGCCATGAGTTGTGTCTACAGCGGGTTTTGTGATTGAATAGCATACACACCAGGTAGTGATCCGTCTCGACCAGGAACATGGGACCCAGGATCCCTCGGGGCGACTTCCTTACCAGAGGTGTGGACTCGAGTCATGTGACTTGGACTCGAGTCAGACTCGAGTCATGAATTTGATGACTTCAGACTCGACTTGGACTTGCATAACAATGACTTTGTCCCACCTCTGAGGTGTGGACTCGAGTCATGTGACTTGGACTCGAGTCAGACTCGAGTCATGAATTTGATGACTTCAGACTCGACTTGGACTTGCATAACAATGACTTTGTCCCACCTCTGAGGTGTGGACTCGAGTCATGTGACTTGGACTCGAGTCATGAATTTGATGACTTCAGACTCGACTTGGACTTGCATAACAATGACTTTGTCCCACCTCTGAGGTGTGGACTCGAGTCATGTGACTTGGACTCGAGTCAGACTCGAGTCATGAATTTGATGACTTCAGACTCGACTTGGACTTGCATAACAATGACTTTGTCCCACCTCTGTTCCTTACTCTGCCACACGTGATGTTGTATACGGCAGTTGCTGCACGGCAACCCGTGCGGCGTTGCAGTGTGCGGGTGACAAAAATACGTTGAGAAACAAGATTGGAAAGAAATCGTGATGAGGTGTTTTAACTCGGCACAAGCAATTCCAGTTTGGGTTTACACTTTATACTGAAGTTGACAAGAAACCCTATTTTTTAATAGGATTCCGGTTGTGCTGTTACCTTCATAGAGGTAATGGCCATCGAAGCATACATCTCTCTGTCGGGTTCATATGTATTATTTCATGTACAATACATTTGCACCAAATTTACCTTTGCGAAACTGAGACTTGTTAGAATCCTTGGTTATTAACGTTAATGGTTGGTTCAAGTGGCCATTTGCGTGTAGTGTGTGCAGCTCAATATGTACTGTATGCAGTATATACATTGTACATACGGTGTATTGTTATAGATAGGACACCTTTTAGCCGCCTTTGTCACCTTTAAAGTGTCTACCCACGTTGTCACCGGCGAGTGCACTTTTGTCAGTTGAGGATATATTGCCTATGAAACATGATGCCAGCCCTTACCCATCGTGCAATACTGGCGATGCAGCAGTATTAAGCTCGTATTATGTACTCGCTTGCGCCAGGCTCATCTCATCGGTTGGCTCGACTGCGTATGAGGGCCCACAGTAAAGTAGCACGGCTTCACGGCCGCCTCCTCCTCCTCCTCTGCTCACCACCCCAGTGGCTGAGTCTGGTTGGCACGGTGCGGTCTCGCTCCCTGCGCACTCGATAGCCACTCCACTGGCTTGCCCGTCATTGACGGGGCCAAGTTGAAATCAAGACCCAAGCGAGCCACACTCGTCTGGGCCAGATTACGATCGAGCCAACCAGGTCAGGCTGTAGCCTACGGGCCCAGAGGTATTGCGCTGTGTTAGGGTTGGTGGTGCGCGCAGAGCCGAAGCCATGGTGGTGGGGGAGGAGGCTAAAGCAAATGTCCTGGCGTAAGTCCTAAGACTGAAAAGCATGTACCTCTTCGCAAGTGCACACGGGGGTGAAAAAAAACCAACAAAAACAAGGAATGTTGCAAGCATCTGCAGACATTTTTTTTTTACCTGTGTCGTGTTCTTACGTGGGTTCTCTAATTTGTCCTTAACATTTTTGTTTTAGAAATGTATAATACCATAACAAAAAGTACAGTAATATACATCTTGATAATGAAAAAATGCATGACTAGCACTGCAAAGTTATACCTTTCATTCTAGGAATTACGAAGAAACTTAGTCCAAATATTCCTGTTTCAATAGTCGGTTTTATACTTAAAATTAGATTCGCACTATTTTACTTATTTCAAATGGGGATCTTTTCACTTGGTCTAATTTTGCAACTGACTGCAACAGGGGATATGCATGAGTGTGCGCTGATGGAAGATTTTGATCGTGGAGCAGTTTATGTTCATGTTGGTCAGTTGTCCTTCAAGCTTTTTGAACCAAGTCACGCTGTTGTAGGGAAGTATTAATTATGTCTGTGGATATGATTAGAAAGCTTGCTTGAACTCCAGTTCCTTTCCATTCAGTGAAAGCTGCTCGTTTGGGTAATACTTTTCAACGTATTCACGAAGTCTCCTCTCATAACGAGCACAAACAGGCATGCGAAGCTCAGGGTTTTCTTGAAACTCGGGGTGGTTTACTTCTTGGGCATCTCCACCTCTCTCCGTCCCTCAAGGATTCTTATGCGGCACATCCAGATACAATTTCTGCTTTCTCGCACGGGATCGTGAACCACTTGGGGGCGACACGTTGTGCTTGCACGGAGACGCCGCTTTACAAATCCAATCTCTTAAGAAGCGGAGCTCTGGACCGTCCACGTGGGGACCGGCTGCATCGCTCCTTCCACTAGATCGCTTTTGTCGACTTGATGTCAAGCGAGAGATGATGAGTCATCGACTCGGCCATACGTAGGACCACGCAACTGAATCCATGTTTCCACCAGCGCTGGGGCCATTTCAAGGTCGGCGATGCTGGCAGCTTCATGTTAAGCTGGTGGCGCAGGAGGTGATAGCTCTGTTCTCCTTGTTCAGCTTTGTTGCTCACCAGGGCGCTTGTTTTTTTTGTTAAGTCGCAAGATTCCTCGAAAACTTGACCTTGCCTCCATTGACGCTGGTTGCTTCGAGCGTCATGCAAAAAAACTGGTTTTACAACAGTATCGCTTACAAATATCCTTACGTTGTAATTGGTGCTATCCACACGTAAGCACAAACCTTCCCTCACATGCTGGCCTGGACATTTGGATATTGTTTTTGTTGGAATGATTCCACCAAATTAAAACAGCTGCCTTTCTTAAGTGTGCATCTGTGGCTAGGATTGAACCTTGCTATGGATGGAATCTGGATTCCAAACTGTTTGGTTTCTTGAGAAGAACCTCCGACCCACTCTACCACCATGCAACTTGACAACAGCAAGCGCGTAACAGGAAATGCACTTCCAGACACAAATGAAGCCAGCCTAATGTTGCAAAGGCCTAAGCACGTATAAACGTTTTCAAGACCGTTCTCCACATGCCTTTCCGTTGGACCACATTGTCCACTTCCTGACGGCGCTCATGTATATCCCCCTTAACCAGTGACCAAATATTGTATTGAAGACTGGTTATAAAAGAACGTTTGAAAAGTGTACTGTAATTTACTTTTTTTTTACCATTTTCTTTTTCCATTAATTCCGATTGGTGTGCTGTAATGTATCATAGCCCACACGGGGCTGCTGCAGGAGTGCTCAGCTGTGCACCACGTGGTTGTGAATGATCATACATGTTTACCTATTATATACTTTGCAGTGTTTTTGTTACATTAAAACTGCCACTTTAATTCAACATTTTATACAATTGTTGCATGCTAAATAGGTAGTGTTATGTTATATTCATTTGTGGTTATTGCTTTGGAAAGTGATTTGTTGACCCCGATTTTTTTGTTAAATGCCTAAATGTGTTTGCATATTGAGAGTATCGATTACTACTTTTAAAATGTGAATGTTATTCGGGCATCCTTGCTGCATTCTTTACCTAGTGCTGTGCTGTCAAACCATATTCCAATAAACACCTTATTTGTCCAGTTATTTGTGAAGGGTATTGGTGGGGTAGGTGACCACCTGTTGTGGGAGTGGGAGCCACCCGACACCCTCCCCATTTTTCTACTCCTCTGCAGTCACCAAGTTGGAAAAATATCAATCGGAGATGTAGAGACTGAAGTTTGCATGATGTGGAAAAAAGTTTGTATATGGGACCATGTGCAGTAGCCTAACCCGGGCAGGCTATTGCTACCTTTGACAAACATTCAGTGAGTGGATGCCAACAAGTGTCAATAAGTGAATGGCAAACGCACATGCAAATCTTGTCATTTATTAATGAGCATATAAGGCAAGACTTTGTATGAATCTCTTCTGGAGACCTAATTTCCAGAAGTGGTTTAAATAACTTGTAACTGACGGGTTTATGCACATTCTCTGCAAATTCTGTACATGCAAATAATGTTATTGGCAATCTACCATATATGTTGTCCTCTCGGACCTTTTGATTATAAAATGCATCCTCCTTTCCTATCTTGGTCTTTACAAAACTAATCCCTGGCCCTAGGTAGATCAATGGTAGATCACCAATGAGAAAAAAAAAATACAAAATAAATTCAAGACACATCACACTGGCTCAGCAAACAACATGTAAACAATTAGTACAACTTTGGCCTTTAAGCCCAGTAGCGATGAATAAAATACGAGATGTTAATAAAGACTTCTACTCTAAATCCACAAGCCTCACCTTTTCCGAAGAAAAAATGCAACCCCCACTGCCTTCACACTAAATTCAAGTGATTTGCATTTATCACAAACACTGGAATAATACTGCAAACAGGAGTGAATGACAACTTGGATTCGAGAGACGCATTTCTCAACCCATCAATTCCAGTACGCTCCCAACAGCTGGTAAGTGTGCGATTGCCACACTCACTTTTAACCCAAACGGCATAAAGAAATTAGTGGTTGTAAATATCTAGTGACCTTTTGTTTTTAAGAATAACCTCAAAGCATTAAAACATTTGAACCCCCCTGGTTAAAATTAGTGCATTGCATATATAAATATGGCATCAGAGACGTCTTTGACTTTGGAGAAGAGGTTAAAAATGTTCACATTGGGATACAAGCATTTTCTGAAATTCAACACAAAAGCGATAGGCAAGCTGCAGGGGCGGTGGCGTTGGTGCCACTTGGCTCTTGCTAAATGTAGGACTCCATAAGCGGCGAGTTGAGCAGATTCAGCACCTCCGGCGCACTCTGGAGGGGAGGGGGTAGCGTGGGGGGGGTAAAGAAATGAAGGGTTGAGAATGTGACGTCAATTGCTACAAACAGCAACTGACAATATACAACTACATTTAGTATGCATGGATAAACATTTCAGGCAGTTGATAATACTGAGTTTCTATGCACAATGGTAGCAGAACCCCATTCGGACTAAAATTTGCGAAATTATTATTTCTATGCTCTATCGTGGTAGTTTTTTTGCAAGCGAAGCTATTTCACCAAATGAACTTGAATATGCTTGATCAAGCCAAGCAGATTTCGGCCTAGTTTGTACTAGGAAGGGACTCACTGGGAATACCAGGTGTAGATTTTAGACTTGAAGCAGACGGTCATGGTAGTATAGCAATGGATTATTGAATGTATCTGCAAAACTTTGTTCCTATTTATGCATATTTTGTCTGAGTAGCTGTTTACTCCCATCGAGCAAGCATTCTCATGGAATTTACCAAATATCCAATCCCGTTCATCCATTACTGGATGAGGGCCTTCTACCACTATGCAAGTGAAGGTTATTTGACCATACTTGACCTTGATGGTGGGGGGTACAAAACAATGGCGATTGCTGCACTGCCCCCTACAAGGCTTACTACCCATCCAATAGCGATTGAGGCTTCGCTTCCGTGGTGTGACGCAATCAGGCAATTCCAGGCCACTTGCTCATAGGCCAAATAACATTTGACGCGTTATTTTGTGATTACATAACACGAAACAAAACATCCACTGCACAACTGCAAACTTAAGGACGATTTTTATTTTAATAACAAAAAAGCTTTATTGCACTAACAGCCAAAAACCACCCTGAATGCATTGCACTAAATTCACTTTGCAATCACGTTAACAAACTTTAAAAGTTCACAGCAACGGTGTGCCACCACAACTTTTCCCAATAGATTTTCCCACGGTGACGGAGGCAACCGGCAGCACCGCAAGTAAGCAGGGTACACTGGCTGGTGGGGAGGTGGGCGTGGGCAGAGATGCGAGGACCGCGGAAACACGGGGGTGCCACGCGCTCAGGAGTAGACCAGCAGCTCGAGCGTGGGTACCTGCCGAGCCTCGTGGATCGCGTCTGTGGAGCGCGAGCGTCGCTTGGGCCTCCCGCGGAGTGCGGCCACCGTGCACGGCTGCGCCTGCCGCACGGACAACAACGGTAGTTGTTTTCAACCCCTCCCCAATCCAGCGCCACAGGAAACCCAGATATGCGCGAAAAGCAGTTCCACCAATGCCTTGTTTTTTCATGGCCAGTGGGAACCTCAAACTGGTTTGATGCTGGCACTGGGGCAGGGGGTTGCTGGGTCAGAAAACTCGAGTCCCTGTGGTATCTGGGCCTAACTGAAACGATCCCATTGTATCCCAAAAGTTGTAACTCATCAACGGGCTTTCACCTGCCACACCTGAACCTGTGGTAGCATCACGGAATCAACATAGAAGTGAATTGAGCACAGTGACATCGCTCTATTCCCTGCCATGTGTCTTAACATAATACAATAAAATTAGAATAGATATTAGCTTAAAATAATACGAGCTCAAAACCTATGTTAAAATTTGATTGGAAAATAACCTTTTTTCCCCACTAGTATATATATACACATATATTAACTATTCGTAGGAACACAATTTGCCCCCTCCAAAATGTTTAGCCCGAGTGCGCCACTGGACAAGCCCGAGTGCGCCACTGGACAAGCCCTCCATGATCAGTGGGGAAGAGATGACGGTTGTCGTTCAGACCGTAGCGGAGGTCGGAGGAGTCGGCGTGCGTCCCGGGGTGATGTCGCCGCTGTACGGAACTCGGCGGGACAGCTCTGAGCCAGGGGTCACGGTGCCGCCACTGCCACCGCTGTTACCGCTGTTCTTGTCCGTTCCAAACTGCACGCCCAGAACCCTCCTCTGTGCGACAGGGAAGTGCGCGAGTAGTTGCGGGGTAAGTTAAGTGTTCCGAGCCACTCATTATTAGACTTACAGTTTGCAGTCTCACTCAAATACCTTCTGCGTATTAATACGTGACCACAAAAGGTTTGAAAAACTGGCAAGTTGGACAATAAAATTTATAATTAGCATGCTCAAGGCCAATTACATCTACAATTTTTTCCAACAAATAAATTAATGATTCGGCAAATCAGGAAATTTACTTTTGTACATATACAAATTGAGTGCCGGGTGGAGCGATGGCACAGGGGTTAGCGCACTACGTTATGAGCCAGTGTGTGAAGTAGTCACAAACGACCCTCAACCGACAAAGCATGGGGGAGAGGCCTTCAGCAGTAGACTGACAGAGCTGTAAACTAAAAGGAATAATTTATTCCACTCAATTGTAGTCCTGAAGACTGTGGTAATTAACATTGACTCCGATTCATCGGCTCCAGAGTGAAATAGACAATCGCGCGCGTGCGCGTCCCTTTAGCCGCGCACCCTGATTAAGCCGCTGAACGAGCGCGAGCGGGTGCTCCTCTTGCTGCGCCCCTGGTTCTCCGTCACGGGCGTGCTGACGTTGCTGTACTTGTTGAACTGCTTGATGACCTTCTTCTTCTTGGCGCTGTCGGGCATGTTTTGCACGTGCCGGAAGAGGTCCCGGATCGCCTCGTCCGTGCGCCGCTGCACGTTCTCCGTGGGCTCGAGCGAGCTCGACACGAGGCGGCCACGCTTGGGCCCCACGGGGGGTTCGTCCTCCGCTGCCGCTGCTTCCAAGTGATCCTGCATGCGGGCCCCGAACACGGCTCCCTGTCACCACGGTGTGTGTGGCCATGGCTGTGGTGAGCTGGCTGCCTTTGCTCTCCAGGAAGGGTTCATGAGCCAGGCTAGTGCTGCCCTCTTGAGGCTGCGTAGCTGTAATGTCTCATTTGGAAGTTGGACATCTAACGTGAGTCTTCTCTGATCTTGTACAAATACCTGTCTTCCTGGTCTCCAGATCTAGTTTCTATCGAAGTCATTTTACTGAAACTCTCCTAGTGTGCTAAATTACGTGTTTTCTTCTCTATTCAGACCTTAAGGTTATTCTCCTACATCAAGACCTTTATGATGATTTTGACACCAAGCATCTCATGGCACAATTATGTCATCTTTCCTCTTGAATTGCTCATTCAGTTTATTTACAAGGGCTGTCTTCCTCTCAGAAACTCTGTGCTTTGGTGTTCCATCACGCTCCATTACTAGGCCCTCTGTTCTTCCCATTTCATCTCCTCCCTCTTGGCAAAATGATCTTCAGATGTTTTTATCGGCCATTATTTCTAAGCCGACAACTCTCAGCTCTCCATCGCCGCTGATATCACGAACCCAATCTAACTGTCCACTCTCATCCTGCGTTCATTCGGTTTCAACTTTGGTTCTAACTCTTCAGGTAAATATTTTCCCGATTGGCAAAAATCCCACTCAGTAAAGAGTGGACAAAACCCTGAAGTTGTCACGGATCCCTCAATCGCAAATCGAATTTGCACGTCTTAACTGCAGGACTTCATACCTCCATCTGTACAGCAGCTCTCGCTTCCACAATTTCCTTAGCATAATTGCTATTGGAGACCCTCATCCATGCCTTCATCCCATTCTGACTTGACTTTCAAACGCCTTCCTCCACAACCTATCCAAATCCCTCACCTCCAAACTCCAGATGATAAAAAAAAATGCCAACGCTGCTAAACGTCTCACCCATGCCCGTCAACAAGACCACATCACCCCCAGTATTCTGACCCCCCTACAAGCTACCAATTCAGTCCTGGAGCAACTTTAAGATCGCACTCACCATCTTCAAGATCCTCCATGGTGTCACCTCTGTCCTATTTCCTGCCCTCTATTCAAGTCAAGACTCAAGGCCTTCCCTTTTCCTCTGCCCTATGCACACTTCTCTCTCTACAAAATAAACATGCTCACTCTTCATCGCATCTTAAGATGCAGTTGCATGTATACAATATATACATCAAAAATGTATTGTAATGTAAAGACGATTCTTACACTCTTCCACACAATGTATTATTTAGTATGTATGCAAATACAATGTTTTGGCTACTGGAGTGAACAAGATAGAACAAAGCAGACAATATAAAAACGAGACGGACAAGATTCGGAAATCATCTCGTCGTGGGGTAAGTGAATAGCTACTAGCATATTTGAAGTATTGGAACTGTTAGTGAAATTGCTATTTAATAGCTGCTGCTCACCTTTGATTCATGGTAACACGCATCTGGGAAAAATATCATCGCTTGTTTTCTTATGTACGCTGGTGCCTGGAAGAAGAATAAACAATCCATGTAATTCACCTTGCACAGTTTCGATTCAGACTTGGGAGTCACTTGTTTATTATGGCTCACGGTTGTAATGCCCGAGCCACGAACCTTACCTTAAACAACTTTTGCGAGTGCTTGATCATAAACGCCACTGCATTGTTCATTTTCCCAATGTTTTCCTGCAGATCGTTTGCCGTAACCTGCACCAAAAAAAATACCATCATTAAGCGTGAAGTCAAATAAAATCTCAAAGTGCTTTGAGTGTTCCTGGGAAGGAGTTTCACACAAACAAATACCCCTTACATTTCGAGGCCACAGGATGTGCGGGGAGAACATTAGCGCGAGGTTGAAGGCCGACATCTTGTTCGTATCCTGCCGGCGTGCCGTCTGGTGCAGTAAATCGAGCAGCAGCCGCAGCAGATTACGATTGGCCGAAGGTAGCAGTAGGAACAGCAGCTGCAGCGCCTCCAGCTGCCTCTCCTTGTCTACCACGGAAGTCTTGTTGCCCGTCGTGTCAAACAGCGTCAGCTCTGAAATGAGGCACGCACCCGTTGAAGAGGTGAGGGATAGCCCAAACTGTGAATGTGGACAGGTACAGAATGGGATGCGTATATTGTGGAGGACTGCCCTCTAACCAGACTGGATGGAGGACTGGCAGCATTTGACACTTCAGAAATTGATGCTGTGGCCTGGCTCGGCCATACACAACGCAAGAGGTTTCCTCGTCAATAAAGTAAATGAAAAATCCCAGTGTATAACCGAATTGAGCCGGAACGAGGGCTGTGCCATGTCAACCCGGTATGGTTCAGGATGTACCAGTATTTTATACTGCTGGAGCCGTGCTGCAGATCCCATATGCAATGAACCAGTCGAGCCACATGTCGGCGACACGGTTATGCGGCATCCTCACAGTGCACAGACTTCATCTCACGCGCAACGAAGAGATTGGCCCCACCCCTGCCCGTGCTTGGCTCTGAGTCAGACTCAAATGTATCATGGCTTGGTTCTGGCTCGACACAGAAAATAGCCATTGGAAATTCACCCATACCGGGAGGGGGTCTGGCAGTGGCTCGGCTCGGATGTGCAGTGAAAAAGGGGTATTGTGTGGCATGTGCTACCGTTGATCTTGAGGTGTGCGTTGTAGTGGCGGTGAGTGAGAAGCGGCTCAGGAAGCTCTCCCAGGAAGGCCTTGAGCACAGAGGCCACGTCTTGTGGGTGGAACATGGCGTTGTCCAGGTCCACCTCGCGGCCCGAGTTCAGCAAGTCCCGCAGCGCCTGCTGCCTCAGGCTGCTGCCGGACACACGGAACAAGCCCTCCACGTGGAGGTCTGTGGCACGTGCACCCGCGCGCATGTGTGAGCAGGATTGTAAATGCGAGTAAATCAGGCAATGCACAGAGAATGATACTGGATGCTGTCAGACAGGAAGATGACGGTAAGTCAGAGGAAGATGGCATACTGCATAAAGGTGATGCCCATAAACATGGGGGGTACACTTCAGATCAACACAGATGGGGTTCATGAACCCATTTTCTTTACTGCCATCTCCTGGCCACCTCAGCCCTGCTCAACTGCGCAAGTGTGAGACTGCAGTGAGTGTTGAGTGCTCGAATGATGCTGAAGATGATGGAGATTAGGGGCCCCGTGGCTTGCAGTACTCACTCTTATGGAGGTATTCAATCAGCTGATAGATCCTGGCGATGCCCTCCTCCGTCAGCGGAGCGCCAAACACCGCTCCCTTTTCCACTGCTTGGAAAATGAAATGACACAAAGGTGGCCAGATGACTCTGGAATTGGAGCACCTGCCAGCTACGCTGCGATCATGGGTTCAAACATAGGTTTCAATCATTCATGATTAAACCAGGCCACTCAAGAGTACCAACCTGAAGATTTCAGCCTGGTCAACAATTACACAATAAATCACATTAAATGCAGCAATGTACTTTACATTCATAAAATGGGGTTACATTAAGACGTATATGGCAATGAACGATTCACCCCTCCAGCAATTGTACCAACTGCCACTACTCAGGGTCGTGGTGCCTTTGTCAAAGCGGCACTTGTAAAGCAAGCCCTGCGCCATCCTGAATGCCCCTTCATTGTCAAGCAGGCGGGTGCGAGAATACGCACCCGCCGCCATCTGTTTACATTCGCTCATATTTTTGTGAGCATTTTAAACCCACGAAGGTCTGCCTGTACTTGGCCGTTCGTGGTGGTGGGTGGTTGGTGGTGGGTGGTTGCTGGTGGGTGGGTGGGTGGTTGCTGATGGGTGGGTGGGTGGTTGCTGGTGGGTGGGTGGGTGGGTGCTGGTGGGTGGGTGGGTGGTTGCTGGTGGGTGGGTGGGTGGTTGCTGGTGGGTGGGTGGGTGGTTGCTGGTGGGTGGGTGGGTGGTTGCTGGTGGGTGGGTGGGTGGTTGCTGGTGGGTGGGTGGGTGGTTGCTGGTGGGTGGGTGGTTGCTGGTGGGTGGGTGGGTGGTTGCTGGTGGTTGCTGCTGGTGGGTGGGTGGGTGGTTGCTGGTGGGTTGGGTGGTGTGATGGTTGGGTGAGTGTCAGCACCTTTCTTCCGCAGGAAGGGCAGCGAGCGCAGGAACGCGGTGGCCGTGCTCCCGGGCAGCCGGGGATCCATGTCCCCCATGAGCTGCGCCAGCTCCGTGCCCGGCAGGTCCACGTGCCGCGTCACGCCGCTCACCACCATCTCCTGGAAGCGCTCCGGCCACTCGTGGCGAAGTTTCTCCACGAAGAAGTCGGGGTTGGAGACCACGACGTGCCCTGACGGACGGCTCCCGCCAGCCGACACTTCGTTGCTGATCACGATGTTACTGCACGGAGGGGGGGGGGGGAGGCAAGAGTGGCCGGCAACATCACTCAAACTGCAACTTTAAAGCTCAGGTTATTATTTGTTTACAATTTGATTTAGAAGCGTACGCGTACAGCCACTTCGTCAATCTACTGTCATACTTCACCACGCTGGTCATCGCGGGTTTGGCACGGATGCATTGACGATCTGGCTCACCGTCTTGGGTGTTTATCTCACCACGTACAACAAGTAGTGAACGTGTCCGTGGAGTTTCCACGTCTCTCCGCATCTCTCTTCATTTAAGGGCCCTCCCCATCGCCACCAAACTTCCACGACCACCGTTTGACGCACGGCCACGCAACACCTCCACGTCGGCGATAAACAACCGAGTTTATGACGGCACGAGAAGCAAGCGGTGTCTAAAGAGTGGCCATCACACCCAAGGAGGCAGAGAGAGAGAGATAAAGAGAGGAGTTGCGTGTTACCTCCTCGTCAGCGGCCGCCTCTCCGTGGCGTCCATGATTTTCTTTCTTCCCACCCCCCTCCCCATTTCAAATCCCGTGCCCGCGTGACGTCACCGAGGGCCAAGCCGCGTCTCTGATTGGTCGGCGGGGGGAGCAAGCAACGGCATTGCCGGGCGCTCGTCCAATCACGAGGCTCAACGGGTTGTTTCAAAAGAAAAGGTTCCCGCCCCCTTTGTTGTTGTTTTTGTTGTGGTGTTGTTGTTGTTGTGTTGTTGTTGTTTTTGTTGTTGTTGTGTTTACGTATACGGGGGAGGACTCCAATATCATTGGAGCCACTGGCGAAATGTGAGAAATTAGTATGTTAATGGTAGATTGGAGAGTGGTTGTGTGGCTATGTTAATGAGATAGATTAACATTTTAATGTGTTTTCACATTAACATGTTAATTTCTCAAATTAACATAACTAATTCTAGATTTGAAGCTTTCGTGACTGCAAGGATTCATACTCTTAGGTTTTTTCGGTAAAGTCATGTTGGTAAAAATAAATAATAATAAAATGATAGAAATAATAATAGACATAAAATAGTATTTATTATTTTATTTAATAATACTTATTATTTTATTTTTATTATTATTTCCATCATTATCTTATTATTTATTTTTACCTACCGAAAAAACCTACGAGTATTAACATTATTTTATTATTTCCCTTCTATGTGACTACCGAAAGAACCAAGAAGAGGATTGCTAAGTCTATGAACATTTCCAAGTCAATGCGGTGCGTGCAATATCGGCCTCCATGTTGCTTAGGGGCGACGTTGAATTTTTGTGACGCGATCCGCGTGTTAATGACGTCATGCACCCCCACTATAAATGGACGCCGCCTCCCTACCTAAGATGGCCGCCGATTGGTATCATAGCAACAGCGGGGGAGGGGGGAGTTTAGTTGTATCTCTGGCCTCTACACGTGCTATGAAGAAAGACCATTTAATCGGCACGTCGCCTGTTGTTCATGTTTTTATTTTATTTTAAGGCAGTGATATTAACGACGATCGTGTTGAGCTTGTTATTATCTGTGGATTGAGGATGGGGGGGTAAAACACCATCCAATCAGAGTCTTGAATTGTACATCACGTGGACAGGTTTGACGAATCACGATAAGCCAACCACCCGGCCACCACAACATCGACCGAGCGGCGTGCAGTTGCTAATGGCAACTCCATGGCAACGACACGCGGAGGAGTCTTCACGCCCCCCCCCCCTCGCCGCTTGCCCCGCCCCTCATTACTTGCCCCGCCCACTTTACAACTAGCCCCGCCCACTTTACAACTAGCCCCGCCAACTTCACTGTTTGCCCCGCCCATTAGAGTGATAGCCACGCCTACTTTCTCGCTGGCTCCACCTCCAATGCCGATGGCCCCGCCCACTCGTCGCGTGGCCCCGCCCACTCGTCGCGTGGCCCCGCCCACTCGTCGCGTGGCCCCGCCCACTCGGGCTTCCAGGTCCGTGCGGCCGCGCTAAGAAGCAAAGTGGCAGCATCAGTGGCGGCTGCGGCGGGAGTAGCAGCAGCAGCATTGACCGGTGGCAACATCATTAGGAGACGGTCATAGAATAATTAGAAGCAGCAGCAGCAGCCGCACAAGCAGAACGTCGGTGCAGCGGGTAGAGTCAACACCGGCAGCGTAGGAAGAAGAAGAAGCAGCCTTTGGCATCTAAAAAGTGATGCCTGTCCATGCGTCCAGATTGCGTGGACGTCAATATTAATACAGCTCTGGGGCATTCGTTAATTATTCAAGTTGTGTTTTTTTTTATTTTGTAATGTTACCCGTACGTTCATGCTCGCTCTAGCCGTGCCGAGGGTAATTCAGCAATCGCAAATAAACAAAAACCAGCGTCATCTCGAATGTAAATGCGTGGCTACGCAAAATAAGTGTCACTGTCGGATGTAATTGCCGTAAGGAATTCACATTAAATCCTGCCATTACATTTGGTTATTAATTAACTCGCCATGGCAACGGGCATGAGCTGGCAGTATTACAACAGTGGAGGAGGAGGTGGTGGAGGAGGTGGTGGTGGTGGAGCGGGGTCGACACGAATCGCCGGGACCTCCCTCGAGTACGGGCAGGAGATGCATCTCAAGATGAGCAAGAAGATCGCCCAGCTCACCAAGGTGAGGGCTTGGAGGTGGTGGTGGTGAGGTGGTGGTGGTGGTGAGGAGGTGGTGGTGAGGAGGTGGTGGTGGTGGTGAGGACAATGAGGAGATGGTGAGGTCGAGGTGGACGTGGTGGTCACGGTGCGAGATTTGTGGTGTTAATGGTCGTGGTGGTGAGGAGTTGGTGGAGATGGTGTTAACAAAGTGGTGGTGGTGTTCACAAAGTGGAGATGGTGTTAACAACGTGGAGGTGGTGTTCACAACGTGGATGGGGTGTTCACAAAGTGGAGATGGTGTTAAAGTGGAGGTGGTGTTCACAAAGTGGTGGTGGTGTTCACAAAGTGGAGATGGTGTTAACAACGTGGAGGTGGTGTTAACAACGTGGAGGTGGTGTTAAAGTGGAGGTGGTGTTCACAAAGTGGTGGTGGTGTTCACAAAGTGGTGGTGTTAACAACGTGGAGGTGGTGTTCACAAAGTGGAGATGGTGTTAACAACGTGGAGGTGGTGTTCACAACGTGGAGATGGTGTTAAAGTGGAGGTGGTGTTCACAAAGTGGTGGTGGTGTTCACAAAGTGGTGGTGTTCACAAAGTGGTGGTGTTCACAAAGTGGTGGTGGTGTTCACAAAGTGGAGGTGGTGGTAACAAAGTGGTGGTGTTAACAATGTGGAGGTGGTGGTAACAAATTGGAGGTGGTGGTAACATAGTGGTGGTGTTCACAAAGTGGAGGTGGTGTTCACAAAGTGGACGTGGTATTCACAAAGTCGAGGTGGTGTTCACAAAGTGGAGGTGGTGTTCACAAAGTGGAGGTGGTGTTCACAAAGTGGACGTGGTATTCACAAAGTCGAGGTGGTGTTAACAACGTGGAGGTGGTGTTCACAAAGTGAAGGTGGTGTTCACAAAGTGGATGGGGTGGCGTTAACAAAGTGGTGGTGTTCAGAAAGTGCAGGTGGTGTTCAGAAAGTGCAGGTGGTGTTAACAAAGTGCAGGTGGTGTTCACAAAGTGGAGGTGTTAAAGTGGAGGTGGTGGTAACACAGTGGAGGTGGTGTTCACAAAGTGGAGGTGGTGTTCACAAAGTGGAGGTGGTGTTCACAAAGCGGAAGTGGTTGGTGGTAGTGGTGAGAGGTTGGTAGCGGTCGGACGCGGAGATGTTGATGGTGGTGAGGTCGCTGGTGGTGGCATTGATGAAGAGGCGGTCAGCTGATGGTGGCATTGCTGGGGATGGGTGGAGAGCTGGTGGTGAGGATGAGGAGACTGGAGTAAATACTTGAATATGTTGAGGGCAAAGGTGGGGGTGAGGAAACGGCGATGATGAGGATATTTTGAGGAAGAGTTGGTGACGGTGAGAGGGTCGTGTTGATGTGGAGGACATGAGGAAGTGGTGATGACGAGGTGGTGAGAGCGAGACATTGTTGAGATCAAAGAGGTGATGCAGATTGAGTGATGCGGATTGAAGGTGAGGAGATGCTGTGGTTGAGGTGGTGGGGTTGAGAAGGTGGTGAAGCCAAGGAGGTGGTTTTGGCCATTCGCAGGTGGGGGAAGGTGAGGAGGAGGTGGTGAGGATGTGATAGGTGGTGACGCTCAATTAAGGGAAGGGCCCATCTCTGTTGAAGGGAGAACTTCAGTCTGCAGTGCAGGGAGGTCACTTAGACTACAACGAAGAAACCATCATCAATGACACTGCCATAAAGGAGAACATATATAATGGGGACGTTTCAGGCAATTGCCCTTCTTCATGGCACAACGTAAATTGCGTAATTTTCATGTGCTGCGAAGAAGAACCATTACCCAAAACTTCGCCTATTTTAAATACAGATTTTAAAAAATCCCTTTTAAAGTCAATGTGTTGTTGACGAATTCGTTGAGAATGTTGTGATTTGTGCTGCTGTTTACCAAGGCCATCACAGCAGCAGCATCACCACTTAATAATTGTTTTAATCTGAAGAGGTGCATTTATTGCAGATTAGAGGATTATAACATATCCTGCTTTAAAAGAGAGCCTTGTATTAAAAAAAAAGCGGTCTTAAGGCTGATTACCGGCGAAACGTCGTACTCGAATTGTAAATGTTGTTGTGGGTTTGCTCTCCAACACATCAGTGTGCTGAACTAGTAACGAATTGGCCACGTTTTGTTTACTAATTGTCCGTGTCGGGTGGTGGCGGGTTTAACGACACATTTATATATTTACGCGATCGAATCCAAAAACACCTCTATTATGGATAATATCGGTCGTGAAAGCCCTACGACTAAGTGTTAAACTTAAGGGGGCTCATTCGCCTCGAGGGAGGTTTGTTCACAAATGTGTAAGAGGTCCTCTGCCTTCAATTAACAGATGGATTCACTTCGAATGTAAGAGTATATTGTGTCACTCCAGTAACCAGTGCGATAAAACCATTTACTCTATTCTGCTGCAGCCTATTCTGTAATTATCGTACGAAATAGTGGGGCCTCTTTTTTGTGAATCCACATCACTGTCGAATGCGTGTATTACATGCACAGCATTCAATGTAAATTAATGTTTCTGCAGTTTATTGATTTTCTTTTTTCTTTCTAGTCTGGCCCAGCCGATGTATTATTTCTCAGGCAACACTGTGCGGGTTTGAATGCCGACAAATGCCTGCGTGTGGTCATTCATTGCACGAGGTATAAGCAGAAGCGTAAGTAAGCTCGTGTAAGCTCAGCCGCCGCCAATGTGGCCTTGAACTTGGCAGGGCTTCACTTAATTCGCGTCGGCATGAACGATATATACCCAAAGCACTCGCCCCTCTGAGTGGAGCCAGTTGATAATCATGAGCAGGTGCCTTCTATTTCGGAATTTCTCCAAGGAACAGATCTCTCGAGTGCCTTTTAAGAGGCCGCGCTGTGATGCAACAGGGGTTGTGAGCTGTGATTCGAGAGAAAATACGCAGAAGCGATGGTGTTTGCCTCGGTGTTATGAACGGCATTAAACGTTAGAGTTTATTGATTGTGTTCAATCTTGCGGCTTACAACGTTTTGATGTCGACTGTGCCGAACTGAAACATTCCATCTTCGATTTTTTTTTTTACGCAGCTTCGTAAACTTTCCTTTATTTTTGATGTTTACTGCCAACAAATGATATTATTAAATAGTAAACTGTAACACCTTTGCTGTTTGCGGCGCTGTTGCTGTTCAAATGAATGGGGAATAGTAAGAAATGTAATCCCCAAAGAGAATTTAATTGTTTTTGTTCACACCAAATTTTTACAAACGCATCTTTATCTTGGACACACGCTTTTTGTGACGCTTCTCAGTTTCAAATTATTGTCTAATTAAGGACGATGATCACAGAGTCCAGTAATTATGAATGACTCGCAGTTAAATTGTAATTTAAAGTTGACACGCAATTAAGACAATTCATGAATACACTGGCCAGGTGCCAAGTCATAATAAATGACTTCTAATTAAGTGTTAATGAGACACGTAATTAATCCCTTGTTCAGATTCCGCTAACATCCGTATCAATTAAACTCGACTGCTGTGGTTGTTGTTGGTATACTAATTAATGGTTGGTCATCATGATTGCATGTAATGTTGGAAGTTTTTTTTCTCTTTTCCCCCAGAACTAATTAGCAATTTTAATTCCTATTACACGCACACGTAATTAAACGGTAATGCGTTCGCTTGCTGCTTGACATACTTTCATATCAAGTGTGACTTTGTGGCTTTGGTGATGCGTATTTGAAGTGAAGAACATTACGTGGTTAATTAACCTGACCTGACAGCCCGTATTAAACTTACTTCAAAACGTGTATTCAGCCACAATGTCACACAAGACGACTGTGCATCACAGTTTAATGGTTTAATTCGCGTAGGTCGAGCACGGCACCGTCATTTGCAGTATTTACCCATCGCACCGGACGTTCAAATGTCATGCTTCTTCTTCTATAACTGTGTACAACAGTTGTTTTTCAGGACTAACGGCACTTGCGTGCGGATTCATTTTTAGCAGCAGCCCCGGGGACATGGAATGCGCGTGTTAACATTGTTGGACAATGGGGCCCTGGCAGCCAAGTGGTCAGGCAAGAGTGGTAAAGATTTTTTTTCGTGGTTGATAGTGACCACGACGAGTTGAGTTTCACTGCGATAACGTTATTTACAGCACGGCCGCTTGATAGGTCAAGGGGCTAATGTATGTATGCTATAGGACTGGATTCGCAACCGGCTTGAAATTCCAAACTTTGCAAAGACACAGCGTGTGCATTACTCGCTACCCCCCCCCCCCCCCACCAGATACGTTAATATATTGGTTTAGAAGGTGAGCAAAAACAGGCAAATCATATTTATGACTCAACATATGTCATATTCAATAGTTTCATTCAAAGAGGTCACCAACAGCACCCAAGGCACTCTTTGAATCGGCGAACTTGAACACATTCCCTTGTAATGGAATGCTCACGATCGACAGCTGCAGATGCCACTTGCACCGATGTTTATCTGCCCGGCGTTTCTTCCCCGCAAATACGTGTCAAGTAAGCTTGCAGTGCGCTGGATAGGATTTGGTGTGTAAGCAAGTGAAACAGAACTCAAAGACTTTGAAACAACGTGTCTAATGGAGCTCATTATAGCACCCACAAACCGCAAGAGACAGGGGCTGGGGGTTTCTCTATATTTGATGCGGCTTCGCTAAGGTTCTACAGAACGCTAAAATATGGCGATTGCGTAACCTCCCATCTGCAGCTGAATATGAGAAAAATGCATATTTGTGTTGCAGGTGGCCAGTACAGGGTTGTCGTCCATAGCTGCAACATTCAATCATATACTTGTGTGGGTGTAATGCTTTTGAACTCTTTTATGTTTGATTAAGCATACAACTTTTATATTTTTAAAGGCTACTGCCATTATGTGTGACATTTCACAGGAACTACTATATTTTTTGGGTGCTGAAGGGATGTCTCTGTTGGGGGTAGTTCTGCGGCAAGATTTACAGCATCGTTGGTGCGATATTAAAATACTTTTCCGTTAACTTAACACTTGGTGCAACCATTTGAAGAAGAAAAAT